GGGGGGGGGGGGAGGGGGAGTAAAGGATGCACGATGGGGATTCTGGGCATTAAGAGGGGTTTAAATAAGTTTGTAAGAACTGAAAAATGTTTAGGAGTTGATTTGCATGATAATTGATATAAAATAACTAATTTCTCTGCTAATTTTGTTTTCAGATCTGCAATTGGACCTGCCAACTTATTAAACATCTGGATATGATTTTTAGTCCAGCTACATTATAAACTAAAAACCTTCGGCTTTGTTTGTCCTTGCTCTGTTTCCTTGATTTTTGATTCTTTCATTTAACAACGGTTTTTTTTTATTTTTTTATTTTTTTTATTTTAGTTTTTACATGTTTGGTTGTATTTCTTTGAATTGGCTACGGATTTAAAGTCTCAATTGTAATTTTACTGACATTTGTGACTTGATTCTTGTGTCTCAAGAATCTAAATGGTTTGATATATAGCTTTGCATGCATTTTGTGTTGATGGAAGTGTATAGAGTAGCTAACCTTGCAAAAGCACTTGCAAAGTGCCTGCACTCTGCTCGCATTGGGCATGCATTGCAATTTGGTTTTTTCTTTGTGCAGAAAACCTGCATATTTAGAGCATGAATTACATTTAACCTCCTATTTCAGGCTCGTGAAGCAAAAACTAGTTCTAAAAATTTGTCATGCCTTTTTTCTGAATGTTGCACTAAATGTGAAAAGGAATTATGCATACCTTCCCAAACGTAATCATCTGGTAGTGTAGCTCATACCTGCATCCCATTTATATATCTGTTAGAGATTTAGCTATCATATTAAAGTAATAATTTCTAATGCAGATTTTGGGGGGTTATGATTTTACAAGGTTCTTTGATCGAGTTTACACAATCTGGGCCAAAGATACTTCTGAACTGATTCCAGCACTGGATACCTACATGGCACAGTGGTTAGCACTTCCTATCGATGATGACATGTTTATATCCTCTCAGGTTTGGGCAAAAGATACTTACAATTCAAGGAGGTGTAACTGAAGTGTTTCAGGAAGTGGTTGGAGAGGGACCCATCCAAGTCTAACGGCTATCCTTCCAACATTGGTGTCAACCTTGAAGACATGATTCATGGCAACATGTTATTGCAAGGATTTTTAGTGATTTGCATTGGTTATAATCAGTTAATGGAATCCAAATGAGCCTTACTGGGAAAGCCATATGATGAAGTGTCAGAAGCCGTACACATTCCACACTTTTTAGCCCTAATCCTCGAATGCTTAGCAGATACTCCCTGCATTTGAAAAACATAGAAACATGGTTAATTTACATTATATGCTGTCAGTTTCTGCTACCTGGTGACTTTGGGATAGGAATTAAGGACACTGATGAATGGTGATAGAAGAAATAAAACGGCTTACTTTACTTTGTCTTGGGGAACATGTCGTAACCATTCTAGATCAATGCTTCCATGGTCGGTAACCAATCTGTCCAGGAATTCCTGAAATATAACAGAATCCTTTTCTAAGCATATTTTGGCCAAAAATCAGTATTCCACATAAAGTTGCGTTGAACATACTTTGATTCGTTCTGCTAGCATGTTGTTCATCCCTCGTTCTTTGATAGTTTTTGATATCTCTTTAACAGAGGCACATCTTACTGCTTCATAGTCCAGTGAATCCATTGTATCTGTGCTTCTTTCTATCTCTGTCCCATTTACCTGTACCTCCTTTCTTAGTTTGTCCCAGTCGCATCCATGCTTTTTATCGGTCTCAGGTTTTGCTTTCCTTGCTTTTGAAACCTTGATTTTTCTCTTTTTATCACCAGGGTTGGATGAATGAACTTGCTTCTGTGGAATTGATTTGGCATTACTATTTTCGGAGCATCCTTTGCTGTTTGCTGCAGATATAATTTTTTCACTGTCAAGACCTTCTGCATACTTAGGAATATTGCAGCTGTCATAAACTACATCATCTTGACCTCTGCCCAATATGCGAGAACTATTTAATGACTTTGTAAATGCGCTGCTTTCTGATTCTAAGGATTTCTGACTGACAAGATGATGATTAGGTGATGCTTGATTATAGTTTATATGAGATCCAAATTGAGAAGTATCTTGTGGAATGACTAAATGCTTGCCTAATGGTCGATAAGGGCTGATTGTTGGCAACTCTAGAGACCCTAGTGTTTCACTTCCATACTGCATCTCTGGGGTTTTATCTGCTCTATCTCCCACTTTCCTATTGCCAAATATCCAACAATTGTTGTCCTGGAATTCACTGTGCACAGAAACAGTTTCAGTCCAAGAAAACTCTCCACCATTCATTTGAAAATTCTTCAACCCTTGTGTGTCTGAGTAATATAACCTGTAGTCAGTTGAAGGAACTACAGGTAGTTGCTTTGGTGGATAAGCATAGTTGCTAGGATGACTATATTCTGAGCAGACATAGGGACTATTGTTTCTGCCTGTTCTACAATTTTGTTTCACATGCTCTGCTGGATGCAGCTGTCCATCTTTATTTCTCTCCTCAAACAGTGACACACCATTTACACTGTTGTAAAATTCCTGGAACATTGTGGTCTTTCCTACCTGTAAAGAATTTGTTGACATTAAAAACTGAGTCTTTCTGGGTTCACACCTGCAGTCAAGTCCTTCTGATTCTGAATTGGATACTGAGGAGGATCTAATTCTGGCATCTTGAGTAATTGAGGAATCAAGAGAATCTTGGGATGATAAAAATTCTTCCTCTGAGCCCTGATTATTTGGCTTTATTAGGCTCCCTTTTGTCCTTGATGTTTCACTGTCTCTCCAAAGCTCTGTTGCATGATATGGTTTCTCAAAGCCAAGATGATAGGTTGGTTGATTTAATGTATGAAATCCATACGATGTTATTGTATCAGCTGGGTTTACTATGCAGAGTTCTGCTTCTTCAAGCAATGTTTTTGTGTCAACATCATATGATTTCTTGCTGCTTTTTGACTGAAGAGGAAACCTTGATGCTAGAGACATGAAGGCAGAGCTGCAAAGAAAGGAAAAAAAGCATAAATTTTTTGTTGGGTTGCACATCACCTTGTTCTAGCGTTGGCAATTTTGGTGAAGCATCCTAAGTGGGGAGAACACCTATCACTGATATTTATCTTACCTTGAAAGATGGTCTGAAACATTCTGAGTGAGGAAAACACCTATCACCGAGTCAACAACAGATCCTTTCCACTTTGAAAATCGTCTATCTCCTGCAAAGTAGATGTATAAATGATTTTGTAAATATATAGTGACAAGTGAATAATTTAGGAATCAATTGAATATTTTAATAAATCATTGATCTCTGTATGGCGAAGGTCTGTTACTAAAGAGGATTTTGTTGTCTATTTATAGCTGGGTACCTTTAGATGCTGTTAGAATGTTACAGTTATTAATCTTAATATAAGCAGGCTTGTGCTAGTAGTAGTAGTATTCAACCTAATTATTATTATGGCAGGAGTATTAAGCTAGGTATTGTACCACATTAGTCATTTTTTCTCTCTTCCCTACCTAAACTGTTAATTCCAACACATTTTAATATGTCCAAGAGCTTTATAATGAGTAGTTGACTCTTAATTGTTATTATTTTCAGAGTAACAGAAATGTTTTAGATATTATAGAAAGTAATAAAATGTCTGTCTTGAGTGCGTACAGTATCTGCATGTTTTGGGCTTGATGTTTGTGTATGATGTATTTTACCTTGAATAAGATGCATCCGTGCAATGAAGGAATCAACTCGTCCATGAAAAACATTTCTTTCTTCTTCCCACCACTTCTCTTTTTCCAAGTCAGTTCCTTCAGGGCCTTCACTTCCTCCTTTGCCCATCAATAGTTTCCAGGTTCTCTCTGTTTCTTGGTCAAGGTCCACTTTAGGCCTTGGTTTAAGTTTTTTAGCTAATTCAAATTCCTGGAAGGGTACAACTGACCGATCTCCATTATACGGGACAAGTGCCTTTTGTCCTTCCATCTTTGGTATGTTGCTCTCCCCAAGTTCGAGACCATTCAGTTGACAAATTATCTCATCTATCAGTGCAGAATATATCTGGTCTGGTTCCTCTGAAAATTAAGAAACAGATAACTATTACTATATGTTTACTGAAAACTTCATTTTTTTTATAAAACACGGATTACCTGAGATATCAATGCTGGTTCCTTTGTTTTGCTGCTCTACAAATCTATTACTTTCAATGCAGATATTTGGCATTTCTTCATTAGACTGTGATTGAAATCCTTTTTTACCTCTTTTTCGCGAGTTCTGTGGATTCTCTTTAGACATTTTTTGGCTGGAAGACCTTCGACTGACTTTTGCACTGCATCTATTTTGAGGTTTTTTAATCTTCTGCATTTTAATGACATCTTTGTCAGGAGCTGCATTTTTTAAATTTCCATCTGCTTGTAAAGTCTTTTGGCAGAAGGAAGTATGAAATGAGTTTGTGGCTGAGTCATGTTGGTTCTCAGTCCTCTTGCAATATTTTCTTTTGGAACCCTTTGCTTTATTGGAATTGGAGAGGATGTTAGGCACCAACTGAAGGGTATTCTGACAAATTGGTTCTCCAGTCTTCTGGGAGTTTTCAAAACATCTTTCTGATTGAAATAGGATGTTGTCAAATTCCTTGGCATGAACATATTGCTGCATACATCCATTATTTCCCTCCTGGTACAAATCACAATTTCCTTGAGCCTGACGATCATCAGTGACAGGAAAATTTTCTATCTGTGGTTCTTCTATAGTTACTGACAAGGCTGTGGTTGATTTCCTTTCTGACCAGTAATTATTAGTTGGTTTTTCATGCAGTAGAAGTGTATTATTGTCTGTGTTTCTGGGTCGTTGATTTTCTACTGCAAGTTCATCCCACGAGCTGATCAGTAAAACTGAGTTTGTACCATAGGTTATAGTTGCTCTACCCAGCATCCCTTTGGCCTTGTGGTCTGAAGTGGTATTGAAAGCTTTCTCAGTTTTATGGCAGATCTCCTGTGGGCAACCTATTCTGCTCTGGCTTTCATATTTACTATGTTCCAAGTCAAAATTTAGTGCTTTCCTGCAGGATTTTTTAGTTGCAACGGTAGAATCAACACTTTCTTCTATAACATCAGTCTGTGGTGTTGCTGCAGTTTTTGGGACATTCTTTCTCTTTTTCTTTGGTTTCTCCTTATTCTGTGTCTTCTGAGTTGCAGACTTTGGTGTTCTTTTGGGCTTGCCCTCTACAATTACTTTTGGCCTATGCTTTCTTCGTTGGGGTGCTTTCTGCTCAGGTGTCTTGTTGAGGTCAAAACCCAGGTCACTTACCTTGCCAAAGATGTCGTCAGAACCCTTTTGATCCCCGCATGCTGTAGAAATAACTGCAGATGATGAATCTACAATTTGCTGTAGAAGCCCATCGCCATATTCCTGAACTTCGTTCTCTGCGAAAGCAATAAAGTCTTTTTGTTTCTCTTTTTCCTGATTTGTGCTTTCAGCTATTATGTAATCTGGTATTGTACAAAACTGGTTGTCCACAAATTTGAGTTGATCCATCATTTTTGGTACTGATTGGAGAGTGTTGGTAAAACTAGCAGTGGCATCAGCTCCCGCCATTGGCACGTAGTTCAGATTATAATTAAGATATGATTCACCTGTAAAAGCAGTTTAAGTGATTCACCAATCAATTGCTGAAATCATAATGGGCGCAATAATGTATTGTTTAAACAGCCAAAAGAAATGGAGTTTATTTTGTGTTTGTAATCACAATCTTTATCATGGTCTCTTTGCTGCTTACTACATAACTTGTGTGAGGTGTATCAGCACCAGATATTAACAATGTAGAAAAATAAACCAACTAATTATTAAAGAAAACTATTGTCTACTCTCATTATCAATGTTATAAATTCATGTTTTTTTTAAAAGAACTATCACTCTCACTTTCTGAACATCCAATGTCTTTTGGGTTACTTTGAATAAACAGTACTGAAACTTTTCACCAATCTTCCATTGCATTGTTGCAAAAGTTTCAATTATTGGAGTAGAAATGAATTTGTGTTGAATTACTGGTATAATCCCTGGATATTAAATTATTTATGCAAACCATCTATTATGGGGCCTATAGATTCAGTTCATTATCAAATTTATTAATTAATTCAAGTTTGTGTGGCTAGACGTGACATGCAGTTGAATAGTAATGTGTTCCTGGTTCAGTTGTCTAAACTTCATTGTGTTTCAAACAGCTAGATAACATTAGAAAGGGATTATAATTGCCAAGATTTCTCTGAATTTGAATTGCAGAAAAAAGGAAGTTACCATAGGGTATCTCAAAGATGCCCTCCAGTTGGCTTGGGACTGAACAATGATTGTCATTGTTGAGCAAGCTGCTAGAGATACTGTCGCTGAATTCAGAATTCCTATTTGGAAACAGAAGTCGATTTGCTTCTTTAAACACAATGTCTGAAGCTGAATGGATATTGCGTCTTTGTGCACCTGCATAGGGATCACTAACATCACTGCTAGCCTGAGAATAAGAATTTGGTAGCAGTGGATTTCTTGCTGACATGTTAATGCTTGCATCCAAATTCCTGTCAGCAGAAGCTATATTAGTTGCGCTCTTCTTGAGCAATAGTTCCAAGGTATTACTGTTTGAACCATTGCTATCATAGTGCCACGGCTGAGTGTAGGAGCCTGGAATGTGATCAAGAACACTATTTCTATCTACCAAGTTGCTATCAAAAGTTTTGATCTCCCCAGTTCGGCCTGTTTGTCCTAGTAGATGGAGATTCTGATTTGGACCTTGGTAATGCTTTAGCTTCTCTTTCATGTAATCACTTCCAGGCACAGGATTTTCTTGATAATTTGCTCTTCTCATTTGGTTCACTGGCCAGTCTGATGGTGTATTAGATCTTAGTAGATCGAGCTTCTCAAGGGTGATGGGCACCCATGTATTCTTCATTTCAAATTGTTTCTCATCTTGACCCAAAAGTTGTTTTCCCATGTTCATTATTGAAAGCCTGAAATTACCGGGAAAGGTATATGATATGAATGTGATAGAAAACATATAACCCAATACGCTAATTATACTAATATTCTAGATAAGGTATATAAGTGTAACTTGTACAGGCCAATAAGACGATTCATACTCCTAATAATAACTAACACATTGTTAGGGTGAAAAGGCAAGGTGGCAACTGATCAACAAGCACAGATGGAATGGCCTAGAAAAAAAACAGGCAGGCTAGAAAAAAGACTTTGATTTTCCATTTCAATACATCGCTAACTCTGTTAATCTCAACTATATACGTGTTTCCTAAGCCAGTTTAGTATTGTCAACTACAATTCAACGAGCTATATCCAATACACTGAAATGATTAACATAGAAGAAAATGTTGAGCTTCATTCTCATCATCCTGAACTATATGCTATATACCACCACATCATGGCCTAGTTCCACATCTGAAGTAACACTTTAACTTGTCCAACAATTAGATGTTATTATCATGGATAAAATTTCATACATATATCAAATATTGCATATGCCGATGTTACTAGAAATGAAACATTGCGTGTAGAAAAGTCAATTGTGAAAGACCAAGAATGATATGCACAAAAATGAAGAGGATAAACAAGTAGAGGTAAGATTGGTTGATGCATATGCTGATGCGTGGTAGGATTGTAAATCAAGGGTGTTGAATGGTCATTTTAGGTTCTACATTAAGTAATTGATCAACAAGCAATGCCCTTAACACAAAAGCCAATAACCAACTCAAAAAACCCCAGAAGACAATTTCAACTCGCAGAACATTTCAAGCCTAAACAAATATTCATCAGGTGTTAACTACTAACAAGGTTATTTGTATTATTCCTAATTATATTCTGAACAGACTTTCAACATAATATGTAAGATATTCAAAGAAATGATTAATGATCACACCAACTGGCAAGTATTCAGCTATAGAGAATCAACAACTGCTGATGGATCTCAGAAAAAAAAAAAAAATGTAAAAAGTGAAATAAAGATCCCAATAGAGGACCTCACCTGCTATGTTGCTCACCTATCTGAAGAAATTTCAAAGCTTTATTATCTGAATTGTGTAGGCTAAAGCTACAAGTTATACAACTTCAGTAGTAACTGTATTCTACCTCTAAATTTGTCCCAGAATAATAGAAATCCGGATGTATTAATAGAATTTTCAGTTTTAACCCATTGTATAAAGCCAACCTTCCAACACATTCCTCACCATAGCTGCTGCAATATTACAACATAACAACATATTAAATAACAAAAATAAAAACTCCCCCAAGGCATGTTGGCCTGCTTTAATGCTGAAATGAATGTCTTGAACATGAAAACTAAAAGTTGAGGCACAGGTGTGTAGCACGCTATCAAAACAAGTATTTTATGAGTGATTCTGAATCTGACTATATTGACTGAGTAAAATCCGATTTAAATATATGGGATTTTGTCACAATTGACAATGATAAACCAGAATCTGCAGAATCTTTGAAATGAAGGATACACGTAAAAACATGTTTTAATTTTGTTAATTTTATACTAAGTAGAACATGAATGCAAAATGGGTATTAAAAAAGAATGTACTTTTGCACCTCACCGATCTGCCGTAGTGAGCACCTCAGAATACTTAAGGTATAGTCAATGTCTGATGGAAACATAGTGGTCTTTGAGAGAGAAACAAGGGTGGAGAAACATAAGAAAACGGTAGATTAAAATAATATTAAAAATAGAACATGTTAGTTTGGAACACCCTTTGTGTAAAAGAATCTTAATTGAGCACTCACACCCTCCATTAATGGTTTTTATCTTTTGCTTCTGCAAGGCTTTTGCTTCTGTTTTTATTCTCATACCCATTAATGACTTTACGAAACAGAGAATCGAGTTGTCCCTACCCTTTCAGGCCATATTTTATAACATTTACTACAGTGATCTCATCTCATGTTTTCAGAATTTGAGTTACTACAGTATTAATTGTTTTGCTCACTGGTTACAAAAATCTAATTTGGATGATACTACACTTGTATTCATATACTCGGTCAACATACATGAGTATAATTTTTGATTTTCGTATAGGGTTGAGATAATTTGCATGACTGTGTTCAATTTTCGTGCCACTATTTTTATTTATTTATTTATAAATTTATATTTTGAGAGTTATTTGATAATTTTTTTATTTTTAATTATTTTTCATTAATTAATTCTTCCTCTATCCTAAATTTATTATAATTTTAACATTTAAAAAACGTTTCAAAATGACTGATGTTCTGACTTTTAATATAATAATAATTTTTTTCTAATTTATTCTTTCATAGATTATTTAATTATTGCAACTAAAAATAATGTGTTATTTGAGAGAGTGAAATTATTTTAGTCAAATTGTATAAAAAGTGATACATTTATGGTTATTCTTAATTTGAGTGTAGAAACCTTAAATTGTAATTGTTGGATGAGAAGAGTAGTATCAAACAATTCTTTGAAACTTCTCTTATTTTGTTGTATTTATGATTTTTTTAATCTTCATACTTTAATTTTAAGTTATAGTTATTAGGTTTTTCTATACATTTTCAATATGGATTTAAGCTTTAGAAAAATGATGGTAAAAGTTTCTCTAACACTCACTTGTTAGTATTTCTTCTATTATTGATTAAAAATCATAAATTTTTAGTATATCATATCACTAAATCAGGAGAGACTCATTAAATAAGATGTGAGACCTATAAAATCTATAATTTTTATTAAATTTTGACCAATAATAAAAAAAACTTTAAAGAAAGAGTTGTTGGTATTTCTTTAGGTTGTAATACACAATGTTGTGTTTCATATTTTTTTCTTCTTGTTTTACAAAATTAATTTTACATCTTTATTTTTAGCTGACAGAAATATGATATTCATAAAAAAAAAATAAGGATCTAGTAAGATAGCCCAGTCGATGGAGGAAAAAGAAGTCTAAATTAGCGTGATTTTATTTGCATAGTTTGTTCTCTCCTCGCAACCTTCTGTTTTGTAACTTTTTATATTCAAATAATGTCTTTTATGTGTTTCATTTCAAAAATATAAAAATTATATTCAGATATTTGGAACTGTGAGACCCCATTCCCTTCTTTTCTTCTTCCTCACTACCTTCACTCTCACTCACTCTTATACTCCTTCTTCCCCAAATTCTTTACTCATTTGCTGATTTCTTGTGGTGATCTAGGTGCTGGATAGGGCTGGTTGAGTGTATCGAACGGATTTCCTTTCTTCCCCGTTGAGCTTCTTCTCCGTTCGTCCTTCTTCTCCATTGTCTTCTTCTCTTCTCGAAAGCTTGGATCTTCGTACCGAGGTAAGGGAAACTAGGTTTTTGCTGTTTTTGGCTGAAAATGAGTGTTAGGGGCTCGTTAGCTATTGGATGTTTGATGATTCTTGCTGAGATTGAAGAACTTGGGGTTTTCAGGTTTTTCGTGGTTCGGAGAAAATTTGGGGATTTTCATTGTTTATGGTTGCATGTGGGTAAAGATGAGATTTTTGGGTTGTTTGATGAAAATGTGATGTTTTGGGCCGATTGCATGTGTTTGGGAAGCTGATTATATGCAGGATTTGAAGAAAATTTTGAAGTTGGAGAGTTTCTGATTGAGAGCACGCCGAGCACAGTTCTTGGCACCGGGCGCGTGACCATCAGAGGGCTCCATTGGTCAAGCACGCCGGGCGCAAGGTTGAGTGCGTCGGGCGAGCTTGAGGATAGATACCCCTGGGTGGCTCACGCCGGGCGTGGCTGAACCACGCTAGGCGCGCTATCAGTCAGTAATCCACTCTTTTGTGGTTCTAGTGTGGCGCCGGGCGTGACCTTGTCTCGCCGGGCGTGGAGACTCCTTGGGAGTTTCTGCCAGAGGTGGCACCGGGCGCAATTGATATTGCGCCAGGCGTGAGACCTTGGGGAAGTCTCTGCTTACCCTACGCCAAGCGCGGGTTTGCGCGCCGGACGTATGAGACCTTTTGAGGTCTCTGCCTCCTAGCACGCCGGGCGCAATGGAAATTGCGTCGAGCGCGTTTGAGCCCTGATGCTCTCTGGTTGTGCCACGTCGGGCGCGACCATGAGTGCACCGGGCGCGGATGATATGCTGTCTTATATGCTGATAGATGTTATTATATGTTGAGCTGAGCTGTAAATGATGAATAGTGTTGTGCTGTTAGATGATAATGCTGAATTATAATATTGCCGTGCTATGAGCTGTTTAAGCTGTGTTGTTTATTATTTAGTTGTGCTTTATGCTGTTATTGATGTGCTGTGTTGTGCTGCATGCTAATATGAGTTGTTGTAGGCCGTAAGACTGAGTTGTTGTAGGTTGTAAGGCTGAGCTGTTGTAGGCCGTAAGGCTGAGCTGTTGTAGGCCGTAAGGCTGAGCTATTGATCACTAAGACTAGAGAATATTTTTCAAAATTTACCTCATCCCATTGTGTGGATTGAGCGGCTGTAGTGCTCTTAGAGCCCAATTTGTTGAAAACCTCCCTAGAAAGCTGACCCTTGGAGTGGTAACTTGCTGTTCTCCTCTAAGTTCTTAGTGGTCCCGTGTGTGGGCAAGGTCGAGGCACACGTGTACAAAGCGACCACGGTATAGGGGCCAGGTCGAGCTATACCGATTACAAGCGACCAATGCTAGCTGATATGCGTGACGACGCATTGTGTGTTTACTGCTGTTATTGCTGAATGATGTGAGATGTATGCTGTGATATATTATAAGCTGATGTTGTTAAGCTGGTTGATGTGTTGATAGCTGTAGCTGATTAACATTCATGTATTTATATATATGTATGTTGATTATTTTCACTAGCTTACCCTTTGTTGTTTCCATGTGGTTGGACTGCGATGATCATACTATGTATGAGAGCAGAGCAGGGTTAGGTTGGTGTGCTGAGGAGGGTCTGCAACTGACAGATGGAGTTTTATTCTTTTGTTGTATTTAGCTACTTAGTATAGCATTACTAGATGTATTTTGTACACTCTGACACCTTAGCCAGATTTGGACTTTGTATATAGGGGAATGCTAATGTATATAGGGGAATGCTAATGTACTCCCACCTGTTTTTTAGTGGGAGTATGTTAGCAACCTACACCAATTTTTTAGGACAAAAAAACCACTCATTTATTTTGATTTGGTTAATTCGTACAAAGGATATTATAGTAATTTAATTTAATTTTAAATGAAAATAAAAATATTTTCTCTCTCTTATTAATTTCATTCTCCAATTCATTTATTTTTTCTATTAATAAATTTTTATTTATTCAGAGAGAGAGGAGGGAGACATCATGAGAGATGAAAGAGAAATGAGTTAAAGAAAGAATTTAATAGAAGAGAGATAAATAAGTTAGAGAAAGAATTTAATAAGAAAGAGAAATGAGTTGGAGAAGAAATTTAATAAGAGAGAGAAATGATTTAGAGAATGAAATTAATAAGAGAGAGAAAATATTTTGTTTTCATTTAAAATTAAAATAAATTACTACAATATCCTTTGTACGAATTAACCAAATCAAAATAAATGAGTGATTTTTTTGTCCTAAAAAATTGGTGTAGGTTGCTAACATACTCCCACTAAAAAATAGGTGGGAGTACATTAGCATTCCCCATATATATATATATATATGAGGAGATATCCGTTTATTCTAGGAGTAAGTCTACCTAGATTTACATTGTTCAAGAATGCACATATCAAATTACGCTCATATATATATATATATATATATATATATATTCTAGACGTTATATGTATATACTTGTTCTTTTCTGTATGGTGTGTTGTGCTGTGTGTAGAGACCAGTCGGGTCATTACAGGAACTATTAAAAAATACCCTTTTACAATTTAATTTCAAAGCTCAATTTGTTTTAGATTCCAAAAGTTTATTTCCGAAATACACTTTGAATAATAGAAAATAAGTTTTCAAAATAGAAAATGCTTGAGGGAAGATAGTCAAGCAGTGAAATATAAGGATTAGAGATGAGAAAATGAGTTTGGTTTGATGAGTTGATATGTGCGAACAACTTGTAAATAAGGTTGGGTTGAACTAGAACCCAAATGAATTGGGTTAATTTATTTTAAATCATAGATTTACAAATTATAAAAAATTCTCTTATCAAATTAATTTTCTTTTTAATTAAATATTATGTTTTGAGATGTTGTGAACCTGTAAAGAAATAATGCTGGTGCTTTCAGATTTTTTTTAAAAAATAATAGATAAATTAAAAAAATAATCCATATTTTTAAAACTAGTATTTTAAAAATTAGTATTTTTAATGAAAGAAAATACAAGAACGCAAAGGACGTACGAAGAAAAAGAAGAGGTGGAAATAAAATACCGCTAAACTAATTAAATAATTAGGACAAATTTAGTTTTCTTAATTTTCATAGGTTAATTTGAATATAATTTTGTTTATATTAAATTAGTGGAATTGAGATATTTTATGTCTTTATATTTTTATTTAATAAAAATATTTAAAAATGTAAAATATTTATTAAACCGACTAATGTTACATTTGATCTTTAAATTTTAGAGTTTCAAATTTGAATTTTTTATTTGTTAAAATAATTAACTTTTAATATTATATTTTATTATTTAAATTTTAAAAATAAAAATATTTAAAAAAATATACACTAAATTATACTATTACTTTTATATTATATTATAGATTATAGATAAAATTAATTTAAAATTTTCATAGGTTAATTTCGAATAAGTTTTAAAATATAAAATCATTATAAACTTTTCTATTTGAATTCCAATAGTTAAAAATAAATTAAAAAATATTGTATTAATCTTGAAACAAAATTAAGTTTTACTTAACATCACTTTGCTATTAGTAATCTTAATATTTTTTTCCTACATTAAAGTTA